GGCCGGTCGGGCCGGGTCGGGCCGCGCACCTGCGCCGCTGCCCGTCCCGTCCCGCCGCCTTTGATCCCCCGCCGCGGGGACCTCGCGCCTCCGCCCGCCGCGCACCTGAGGCGGCCGCGCTGCGCTGCGCTGCATTGCGCGGGGAGCCACCTGCGGCCGTGCCCGCGCGTCCCTCCCTCAGCCCGCCGCGCGGCGCCGCGTCCGCGCTCACTGCCCCCATCGCCTCCTCCTCCTCCTCCGCGCAGGTTGATCATGGTTGCCGCGACGCGCTGCCTCCTGGCGCTGCTGCTCTGCCGGGCGCTGCTGGGCGGCGCGGCCGGCCTCATGCCGGAGGTGGGACGGCGGCGCTTCAGCGAGCCGGGCCGCGCCGCCGCGGCCGCGCAGCGCCCCGACGAGCTGCTGCTCGGCGAGTTCGAGCTGCGCCTGCTCCACATGTTCGGCCTCAAGCGGCGGCCCAGCCCCGGCAAGGACGTCGTCATCCCCCCCTACATGCTGGACCTCTACCGCCTGCACGCGGGGCAGCGCCTGGGGCAGCCGCCCGCGCTCGCCTTCCCGCTGGAGCGCGCCGCGAGCCGCGCCAACACCGTGCGCAGCTTCCACCACGAAGGTAGGCGCGGGCGCGGGGCGGGGGGCGGCCGCGCGCCGCGTGGCGGCCCGGGGCGACGGGGAGGAGGAGGAGGAGGAGGAGGAGGAGGAACGGGGCAGGCGGCGGCCCCGGCGAGGCGCGTCGAGCCGCGCGCGCCCCGGGCTCCCTGCGAGTGCCCCGGGCTCCCCGCGCGCGCCACGAGCTCCCGGTTGGACACGCGGCAGTTGCCGTTCGTGTCCTGGCGCCCTTATCCCCCTCCTCCTCCGCCCTCATCCGATGAAAGGATCTTGTCGTGTTTATTTGCCCTGCGAAAGCAGAGCGGCTCCGAAGCAAGCCTTCCCGCAGGGAGCTTCGCTCTCGCGAGGCCGGGCGCCCTCGTTCGCCGTCGAGCTGGGGTCTCTCCAGAGGTTTCTAATCCCCGTTTAATCCCCGTGGGAGGTCAATGAAATGATCAGCCGCGGTGCCTCCTCAGCGACTGTTGCTCCTGCGCTGAGGAGCGCCCCGGCCCCGAGGCGCCAGGTAACCCGGCCAGCCCCTCAGCACGGYGCCCGGCTCCCCTCGGGACCCAGCGCAGGGCAGCCCTGGGGCTCGGCCGCCCYGCTCTTGACAGGCCCTCAGCCCTGTGACACCGGCTCCCGCCTCAGCAACGGGTGCCCTGGGCCCCTCGTGCGCCCGCTTGCTGCTTCGGTGGCTTGCTGGATGCGAGTGACAGACCTATCCTGGGAAGGAGAGTCACTTGGAAACTGCTCCGTTTACATGTTCTTGTCCCCCTCTCGTGAKGGGCTTGGCTGCCCTGCCTGCCTGCACTGCGGTGTGGAGCGGCCCGTGGGGAGGGAGACCTGCGTGGTGGCACTCGCCTGCTCCAGGGAATCGCTTCCCTGCGCTGAAAGCTGCGGGTCTCAGGGTGTCCGTCTGGGGCCTCATTGTACAAGTGAGGAAAGGCTGTTTCCCCGTGCCCTTACACTCCAATGGCTATGTTAAAAATGCTAAAGAAATCAGAGTAGGGTTGATGATTCTGAATGATTCTGGTGAACAAAGAAGTTGAGCCTGAGATAAGTGGATGTACTGCTCTGTGGAGAGGTGTGTGATGGAGAAGATGAAGGGTGACATGTAGCCTGGCACTGTTAGTCCGTGTTGCTCTGTGTGGAGAGTAAACACTCAGCAATGAATGGGGGAAGTCCTGCGCACGGGTGGTTYGCGCCGAGTGCTGCAGAGTGCGACTGGACGTGGCAGGCAAAGGTCTAAGCCGAAGAGGAGCCGTGAGGGCAAAGTTTGTAATTTGTAGGAGAATGTAGAAATCTGCAGTTCTAAGTAGCGTCTAGCCAAGTTCTGGGTTACAAAGATTATTTTTTGGCACAAGAGAGATTCTGTAATTTTCACAAAATGCTAGAAGAAAATCGCTTGTGTGCCTCAGTCTTTTCCTTGAGTTCTGACCCTGTGTTATTGATGCCATGAAAGCTCAATTTTGCTTTGTGACCGTTCAGAGCATCTATATTTGCATATTTAGGTCTGCTGTAATGCTGYACTGTATTACTGCTGAAATACGGTCAAGCTGAACATTTTCTCATGTGAGAAGTTTTACTAAAATCAACAGGGAATAATTATAGCAATAAGAATTGCCTGTACCAGCCAGGTTTCACTTAAGAAAATGAATGGTTCTCCAGTAAACTTGGTACCAAAATTAAAAGCCATGCTTTTAGAGAGATTTGCTGTGGTTAGTGCTTTTAATTTCTTTAATAGCTGTCACAACAACATCCTTCCTAGATATATTTTATTCTCCCTCAAGTTCCAACCAATTATATTGGGTGAATGGGGAGGCTGGGCATGGAGGAGAGGGAAATCTTTTTGCCTTTGAAAAGCTTCTCTTGTTTAGAAGCAACTTTGTTTCATTATCATTTTACCACCCATCAATTTTTGGAGCTGAACCGTCCTCTGGTTATTTAGGGCCCTTTTGAGTAAAATTAGGGCATGCTTAGTAAAATGCCTCTACAGATGTTGAGCTTGTGGTCTCTAATTATGATACAAAAATGCATAAATTAACATTTGTAAGTCACCTAGTTTATGGCGTAGTATTTTTTTGGAATGGCCTTTAAGGGATAGACGTTAAAGCTCTCTTCTTGAAAAGAGCAGAAATGCAATAATTACCCTAAATCCTCCATCAGTTTTAATTATTCTCATCAGACCTCCACTAGCTATTGCACTAATGTCTTTCTCGCTAATGTCCTTGAATTCCAAGGTAATGCTTCGGGTTTCTTGCCATTTATCATAACCACCTGGAATGTGGTATTCAATCAAAATGCATAACAATGAACGAAGCATTTTCTAACTTCTTGCTGTATGTGCTGCATAAATAAACAGAAGGACAAGGGAGACACTGTTTTCCTGTGGAAACTCTTTCAGATCTTGCGTGTCACAAGTGCTAACTGTCATTTGAAAGTTGCCAGCAGCAGTTGTATCTGAAGGGTTTGTTGCTTGTCTCAGTCCCTGATTATTTTTTTTTTCTCTCTCTCTCTCTTTAATCAAATTAGAAGTTTTGGAAGAACTGCCAGAAACAAGTGGGAAAACAGCACGCCGTTTCTTCTTTAATTTAACTTCCATCCCTAATGAGGAATCTATCACCTCAGCTGAACTCCAGATTTTTCGGAAACAGGTGCACGGAGCCTCCGAGAACAACAGCAGCTACCATCACCGTATTAATATTTATGAAATTATAAAGCCAGCCACAGCCACCTCTAAGGACCCTGTCACAAGACTTTTGGACACCAGGTTGGTGCATCATAATGCAAGTAAATGGGAAAGTTTTGATGTAACGCCAGCTGTAATGAGGTGGATTGCACATGGACAACCTAATCATGGGTTTGTGGTAGAGGTGGTTCACTTGGACAAAGAGAACAGTGCCTCCAAGAGGCACGTTAGGATTAGCAGGTCTTTACATCAGGATGAAGATAGCTGGTCTCAGCTGAGGCCATTATTAGTAACGTTTGGGCATGATGGCAAGGGACACCCGCTCCATAAAAGAGAAAAGCGTCAAGCGAAACACAAACAGCGTAAACGCCACAAATACAGTTGCAAAAGGCATCCGTTATATGTGGACTTCAATGATGTGGGGTGGAATGACTGGATTGTTGCCCCGCCGGGGTATAGTGCCTTTTACTGCCATGGGGAATGTCCTTTCCCACTGGCAGACCATCTAAACTCAACGAACCATGCCATTGTTCAGACTTTGGTCAATTCAGTGAATTCCAAAATCCCTAAGGCTTGCTGTGTGCCGACAGAACTGAGTGCTATTTCCATGCTCTACCTTGACGAGAATGAAAAAGTTGTATTAAAGAACTATCAAGATATGGTTGTGGAGGGTTGTGGGTGCCGCTGACACAGCAAATATATTAGACGAATACAAAAAAAAAAAAAAAAAAAAGCTGACACTTTAATATTTCCCAATGAAGACTTTATTTATGTAATGAAATGGAAAGAAAAAAAAAACACAACTATTTTGAAAATATATTTATGTCTACAAAAAGTTGGGAAAACAAATATTTTAATCAGAGAAATATTCCTTTAAAGATTTTTAAATGTATTTTAGTTGTACATTTTATATGGGTTTAACCCCAGCACATGAAGTATAATGGTCAGATTCTTATTTTGTATTTATTTACTATTATAACCACTTTTTAGAAGAATAGCTAATTTGTATTTATATGTAATCAAAAAGAAAAAAAATATAGGGTTTGTACATAATTTTCCAAAATTGTAGCTGTTTCAATTGTGTGTATTTAAGTTGAAAAGAATACATGGAACGTTACTATGGCAAAGTGCATAGCACATTTGCTTTCTGCTCTGCTACTGTTAAGGTCACAAGTTCAAGTCCAGAAAAAAAGTGGATAATCCACTCTGCTGACTTTCAAGATTATTATATTGTACAATTCTCAGGAATGCTGCAGGGTGGGCTGTCCAATCCATGAGAACTGGCATCCTCTTTAGGTGGAAGATTTGGATAAGAACCAGCCGTTGCTGATCTAGTATAAATACTGCTATTCCCAACTAATTTGCAGTGTGAATATAAGAAGGGCCAATAGAAATCCCAGGGGAGGTGGGGGTGGGGGAAGACCGAATCCTTTCTAGACCTGCAGAAAAGTGAATGTTTGATGTTTCCTTTGCAAGCCCTTCCTCTAAAAGTCCTGGCCAAATATGGAATAATAAAAATGAAAATGTCACAGTTATTTTTTTTTTTGTGATTATGTATGCTAAAGAGGAATAATTACCGTATTTGTACTGGCCTGTGTCTTTAACGATTGGAAAGACATTATATATTTCCTTAGCTCACTTCTGTGGAGTGTTATAGTGAAATTAATCTGCAGGTTTTGCCCTCCGTACAGCAAAGTGTTGTCATATGCAGTCTCCTGTCTAACCTCAGCTGCTGGTTTTGCTGTTTTGCAGATTAGCTTGTCTTCCTTTCCAGGGTTTTCTGTTCAAAAGCATTTCTTTTCCAAATCTTTAAATATTTTTTAAGATAATAAATCATAGAACTCTGGTATTTTGTTCTGAAAAGTGCGGTCTGTATGAAAAAAAAAATGGTTCGATTGTGCAGCAGTCACAAGGATAACCTGTGTTTGCATCTTTCTCTTCTGAAATCCTTTGCATGAAGGGCAAAAAGGTGATTGCAGTCGGAAAGCACGGCATTAAAGCTCGTACTCGCTGCACTTGCTGCCCGTTACRAGGCTGGGGTGATAGTTTGCTAGCCAGTTGTACAATGGGATGAGAGTGCTGGCCCTGGGTTGCTTGGTTGCTCCTTGCACRGAAGTGATGCCCAAATAGCAGAACAGGAAAGCAGCTTAAATGGGCTTCTTGCTGATATACTGCAAAGGGCCTGCTAGGGGTGAGTTCTTGAGGAGCTCTCAGCTACGTGTAGTATATAATATATAGCAATGCTGTGCTCTTAGGCTCAGGAGGCATCAGAAAGCCCTTGCCCTCCCTTGTGCCCTGGTAATTGGATCCAAACCTGGACTCTGGTGAMCTGAGGAAGCCCTTAAAGCCACGTGTGTGGTTGTGCTTCTGCAGAACTGTTGTCAGTCTCCTTCTGGAAGATCTGACTCACCTCTAGCTTAACCTCTTATCAACACTGGCCTTCTTGGCTTTCCTCAAGCTTCTCCTTTTTGCCAGAACCCCCTGGGCTCCAGCGAAGATGCTAAATAGGTTTGTTGATCAGAAAGGCTAACTTGGTGATATCTTATGGGTTGTCTCATAAAACAGCTCTCTTCCTCTGCTGCTAATTGTCGGAAAAAGTAGCCGATAGATAAGATAGAAGAGAAAAATGACTGTAATTTCCTCTYGCCTGCTTCCATTCCTCTGGTGAGCTTAAAAATATTTTCAGCTCTGTGGCAAGATAAAGCTCAATATATTATTTGTATCAGCAGTGTTTTCAGTAGGTGACAGAGAGCAAGTCACTCCTCTGCACTTTGATTTTGTTTGTTTTGACATTGTCATGCTGGTCCTAGATAGCAGCCTGCGAGTTTGCTGGGTAGGAAGCAGTGCTGGAAATGGCTGTTTTYGTGGCTTTCTGAATGTTTTTGGGTTGGCACTTTCTTTGTGTGGAGTTTTAGGTTGTTCTGTTTAGCAGGTAAAGGGTTTTGCTGGTGGTGAGTGAGTTCATGGCTGTTGTCAGCCACAGGGAAGGCTCGGCAGGAGTTCACTGCTTGTTTGTGACACTCGGTGGTTCCAGACGCATCCTGACAGCGCCGGACTAGGCTTTAACTTGGGCTTGCAAAAAAGAGGCTCGATAAAGTGCTGAAAATTCAATCCCGCATCGTTCCTAAGAGGAGGAAAGACATGATCCCAAACCTGCTGAAATCACTGAAGACCCCGTGGCGCTTCTAACCACATCCTAAATTGTGATGTTGCTGGGCTTAAATTTCACATTGAGGAAATTGAGGATTGAGGAAAGCTTTGTAGAGAGTGGTGATTACTTCTCCTAAGGCACGAGCACACGTTGATGTCAGTCTTATTTTTGTTTTGKAAATGGTTGTGATGCTTGTCCATGCCTGAGCAGTGGCTGGCTCGTGGCACGGGGCTCCATTCCCTAAAGAGACAAACCTCCCGTTGCTTGGCTAAGAGTTGCACCCTTAGCAAGACGCCCTGGGAGGCCGCTGTCATTGCAAACGTGGTAAGACCCTCTGCCCTGAACATTTCTGTATCTGCTTGGTGTTAGTCTCAGGACTGTCAGTTCCATGCTGGTTTTGAAGAGGAAATAAGCGTGCATCAAGCTCAGCATGTCCATACACTTATGCCAGCTGGATTTCATAATGTGCTTTTATAATTCCTTAATTCCTAAGCTCTCGCTAGACTGCAGGTGTGAGAGCATTATGCTGAAGGGTGGGTTTTGTTTGTTTGTTTTCTTTTCTCTCTTCTTATTTTTTTAAAGACACAAACCTCCTTTTTGTGCATGAATAGTGGAAGATCCTCACAGCGATTAGTGGGATTGTGTTCCTGTACTCTGCTAACTAGYGTTGGTGATCAGAGAGCCTCCCTGAAAGTTCTGGGCTTTCTGACAACTTCCAAGTTGGGTGCTGTTGCTAAATGACCCTCGGAAGGCGCAGCGGGGAGGGAAGCCTTTATCACAGTGCTTATCAGTACCCTGGTCCATGCTTTGACACTTGTTACTACTCACCAGTGTGTTAGTACTTTACAGAAAGAAATGTTGGTTTTTTAGTTTCATGTGTTTTTTCCTTTCAAGAAGAGAGAATGCAGAGGACCTAGAAGACAAAACTGCCTTTATTACCCCGTAACCTGTTTCTCCTAAACGTGTTGCTTCTAGGCACTTATATAATCTATAGAGGCAGAGATTGTGATAGATAATGTCACCCTTTGTGCGCTTCAGATAAGCATCTCTCTAAGCACAAATGCCATCTCCTCTTGTCCTTTTGAGACTCAGTAGCAACTTTGCCGAGTGGSTTGGTCATTTTTGCACAAAAGTTCAGCTGGACTCCGGTGGTCAGCAACAGGTAGGATCCCTGGGATCCTGGGATCCCAGGTAGGATCCCTGGCAGTCCTGGGAGGACCTGCATTGGAGCTGAGCTCTCCCGGGAGCACTGGCCCTTCTCACCAGCCAGGCCTGCTCTGCTTCGCTAGCGCGGGCTCCAGGTCGGCTCCGGAGGCCTTTCCAGCTCCAAAGCTCCTGAGTGCGCAGCGTGTCCCTGCTTCCCGCCACTGCCAGGGCAGCCGGTGCCTTTTGCTTGTGCGGTCGGTGCTGAGGAGGCTTGGAGAGCAGCACTGCATTTGCTCACTCCCAGTGCTGCAGAAGGGGCTCGTCTGGACTGCGTTTGCATTAGACCTCCTTCGCTAGGCTCCTGGAAGAGAGTAATTATGGAGCTGTTTGATTGTACAGCTATTCCTAAATTGTTGATTTGGTTTGTGTTTTTGTTTTTAATTGATTTCAGGGGGCAGCTAATTGCCATGTGGCGGCTTGATGTTAATGTTTTATGAATATCAGGAAACAAAAGTTTATGAAAAGCTTTTGTGTAGTAGCTGCAGAGTTTCAAGAACTGTTTTATACTTCCTGACAGTGCAGGTCTGGCTTAATGGTTTGTTTTTATTGCTTAAGAGTGTAAACCTTTCTTTAGCCGATGTGTGGAAATTATATCCTCATCCCGCATTACGCATTTCTCATTGCTCATTACTCATTCCCTGCTTTCATTTCTGCCATCTGTAATCAGAGCTTTACTGTTTCAGCTGCCTGCAAAATGCTCCTGTCCTTCGCACAGCGAGACGCTTTTCCTTAGCTTTTACCCACCCCATTCCCAAAAAGGGGAGGGGGAAAGGAAAGAGAAGAAGAAAAAGAGAGAAAAGGCAAAGCCTACTCAGTCCATATTGTTTTTCTCTGTTTTGGGTGGAGTCTCTCTTAGATTCTGGTTGCTAGATGGTTTCTGTAGTAACAAGCAGAGAAAAATTCAAGCCTGAAAAGGCACTTTTAGAGGTGTCCTATCTCGCCTGAAGTATTATTTATCTAATTATGGATATGGGATGTTTCCCTTCTCTTTCAGATTAAGGCTACCTTCTCCCTTTCAGTAGGGCAGGCTGCTGCTGTGAGACCTTGATTTGTTGTTTTCTCACAATACGAGGACGTGAGAACCACGAACCTTGTTCCCAGTTGACTTAAGCTGCTGAAAATAATGATGAGAAGCCAAAGGCATTAAAATGTATTTTTAAAGATGTAATAAATGGTTGTTRCAGGCACAAACCACTTTGTTTTTTAGTTACATAGGAAAGAAAAAAAAGAAGCTAGATTCAGAAGGATACTTGGAGTTTACATATTATTGCTGCAAGGGAAGTGCTGGATGAAAGTGGCCATCTTTTATTTATTTATTTTTTAAACTATTGCCTACTGTATGTACAAAATGTCCTAGCTCCTTCAGAATGTACTTTGTCCACAACTTTTGTTTATTTCTCCCAAGAGATTTTGCAGGTGTATTAGGAAGTAACAGTTTGTGTGTATCTGCACATTTGGCTTGCTCGGGCACAAGAAGGATGAGAAGGTTCTTCAGGGTTGGCTCTTTCTCGTCTTTCCAGTACTAATCCTTCATTAGCTGCACCCCGACAGCRGTGTCTGCAACAAGCACTAATGGTTTCCGAAGGTGGAGCTTCCTCCCTCTCTGGAATCTCCTCACCTGGCGGTGCCCTCTGGCATCTAGCAGCTTCAGTCCATAAGGGTCACTTTAGAAATGCAGCTATTTGGCTTTGGTCCTGTTTCTGYGCTCTTCACGGAGGCCGCCTTGTCCTTGCTTGCTTGCGGAGGGTCTGAGGGTTTGGATCTACCACGTGGAACAAGAGGAACCGTGTCAACACGGAGGAACGTGGAACAACAGGGACCGTGTCTGTAGCTTGCCTGGAGTCTGAGGGCCGGAGCAGATTTGCATCCGTGTTTGCATAGTGCTGCGGAGGCTCTGCTGCCTGCCCGGGCTTGCGCTGCCCTCCATAGAGGAGCGGAGGCTACAGGGTGTCCGACTCCTCCAGAGGTTTGGAGCTGGCCGTGGGTCAGCAAGGGAGCCCTCGGATGTGCTGGTGCTCTGCCGAGCTGGGTCTTGCAGGGGCTCCTGCAAAATAGGCCTGGCTGGCAGGATGGGAGTTAGCACCAACCTGCTGTTAGGTGTGAGGCTGGGGACGTTGGCCTARCCCCAGGAAAGGAGCAGGTCTGTGGCTTTTTAGTTTGGAAAAAAGGCGTGGATTTTGGTGGGGGAGAAAGTTTGAGGTGAGAAGTGGGGAAGGGGAGGACCTGAGGGGTTTGAAGTTGAAAGCGCTGAACGTGTCTAAGGTGACTTCAGGT